CCAAGGGAACTTTTGTTGATACTTGTCTTGTATCTGTGGTGTCAACCCCTTGGCTGAAATAAAAGAGAGATTTCCCATAGTGTTACATCTTTAATGTGGATATGTTTCCAATTTCTCTGACATTTGCAAGATCCGCATCGATTCTCACGTTGGGGTTTCGGTAGAGGCGTTACTTAGCAACATGACGTTATCTGGTGACGACAAGATGACCTTGACAACAGCGGAAGAGCTCGTGCCAGCTCGTCAAGAATCGGAAAATCTTCGGGTTTTCACCGAACCGGCTTTCTTTCACCCGCTTGAGCAGGTCGTTACATTGATTGAAAAGCCTTACTACCTAGGAAACAGATTTCTACATGACTGACTGGAGAAAAAGAAAAAACACTGACCTTCTAATCTGTGCGTAATAGAAATAATCCTCGAGTTCAGCGAACAGCTCACCATCCCGACCGCCTTCTAACAAACCGTAGAATGGAACCAGGCCCTCTCCACCAAGAGCGGCCGCTGCTTCCAAAGCGCTGAAAACGAATAAAACGGAAGATAAGGTATAAATCGAAATACGGCTTCTGTCTAGGGAAAATCAGGAAACTATTTGAGAGATAATCCGTCAAAAACAGTTGGCTTGATCTGGAACAAGTAAAAGAGACAACAAGCATTTGCATTTATAATTTCTTGACGGGAACAAGATGTACAACTCTAACAAGACCCAAGACGACTGAATCGTTACAGTAGCCTGCGTGCGGCTCCCTTCGACGGAAGAGTTTGTTACTGGGCACGGCGTTTTTGCTAAGCACCAATACGAAACTATTGCATACGGGTAATGTAGCCTCTGTGGTAGAAGATCGATTATCAAGTGTATTAAAACAAAAATATGGGTCAAATGTCCTAAAGTTGGCAGCCTTTGAAGCCACTGAAAACACAGGGATTTCCTATTTTTTTTTGTCGATCAACAGCCCGCAGTTTACAGGTTGGCCGCACTCTTCACTACAAAAAAGCCACTTACTCCAAGTTAATTTCCCACATCAGTGCACTGCAGTCTTCTCCACCGGCTGTGAACACGTACTTCCCGTCATAAGAACATATCAAGTTAGAAACCTTAGAAAACAACAACAAAGAAAATAGTCAAAATGGCGCGAGGTCGACAATGGACGCCTTCCATTCGTCCAAGACAAAACCAACGAAGAAATACGCCCCGTTCACCGTTCACCGTTCATACAAGAACTAGTACTATCTAAACTTAATGATATCTCACACAAAATTAACTCTCCAGTAGTAGGTTGACAATCTAAAGGAATTACACCACTCGTTAAGAGCAAACTCCTTTTTACGTCTGACATAAGAGGGAGGGGTGAGTGGGCCTATTTTCGGATAACCGTAATGGACCCCCTCCCCCCAACAACTAAAACTAAAAATAGTCTTTAGCCCTGGTACAATAGAGCGGTTTTCATTTGAGTGTCGAAAAGTAATTGGTTTTGCACGTTCTACGGTACACGATTGGCTTAAAAAACTCCCGCCAATTTCTTATCCAATAAGAATTAAAACCAAAACCAAAACCAAATATGACTCATTCGCCCTCGTTTTCCCGCGCTTTGCGTCAGCTGCATGCAATTGCTTCGAGTTTTGATTGGTTCATTGGATTGTCTGTGTCCTTTGTGATTGACTAGAGTGATCACTTTCGTTTTGCTTTTTGTTATCTATCGTTATCTACTAATTTGAATAGGCGTGTTTGGGTTACATATTGACGTGACAGGCGTAACTGCGTTACATATAGACGCGACTGGTATGAAATAGATACTCACTCCCTCTGGATGTGCTATCAAGGCCATGGTCTTGTGTGGATTGCCATCTAACGGTAGACACTGAAGTCCAACCTGAAGACGTAAAATATACATAATTATTAGTCGACTAAGTTAGTTCAGAGGGCCAATAACACAAATCAACCAATCAGATTGCTTCATTGCCGGTCCAAGATTCNTGGCCCATCTACCAGATGACTTTCATCTCTTGTATCTCGGGGGTATTACATCTAACTGGTACATAAAAGGTCACGACTTTGATTGACCTGCTACAAGAACTTGTCTTATTGATAGGTTAAAATATCTTTTAGATTAGTGGTGCATCTAGCTGATGCGTGAAAGGTCAGAACTTTCATTGTCCTGTTGCAGGAGATGGGGTCACCAGATTAATATTAATACCCGGTAATAATCTTTCTTTCAATTTAGCAATGCCTTACCTTAAGTTCACTTCCGTCGGTAGCAAAATGAGCAATGTTAGCTGTCGATGTACTGATCACAAAATCATTCACTATGAATGGGTTGGCATCTAAAGTAGAGCTGGCAGGAAAGTTTCTTTTCTCTGGAGTAGTTCTAGAATAGTGACGAGATTAACTCAATGATCAAAAAACTACTGTGCAGTAATTAAACATCGTTTTAAAGAGAACATAACAATACCCACCAACACTGTCAAATAGGCACAAAAAATGCAGATGATGGTGATGATGATGGTGAGACCTACAGAACTATTGGACTTTGGAACAATTTAGACCCCTTTTTAAAATCAAGCAGTTCAGTTCAAGTTTTTAAACGTATCTTAAAGAATAAGCTTTTAGACAATTTTGTAAATACTCCCTAAACNCTCCTGGGGGGTGGAGGGGAAAGAAATACTGCTAGTCCCTTAATGCCACAGAATCTAGGATAAGCTATGATGAGATGTGACACTTTGGCCCAAGACAGACTTTACGCATATCTAGTCACAACTTAGGGCAAGTCTCACAGTTAATGGTAAATGCCAGATATTATAAATATTAGGTTGAGCAATATAACTCCATGAATAGTAATAATAAGTAACCCAATGTGGATCTATTACCAGTATATTAAATATGTAGACTTATTAATAATATTGTGGATAATCAATACCAAAAGCTGCTTCTTACTTGTCAGAAGTTGTGAGGACTGTAAGGGCTTTCTCCTGCAACTTGACAATCTTGAATGCCTTTCTGTTACACTTAAGATCCCCACCTGCATGTTCCCATACCACTATGTTGCCGCAACTTGTGGCCGTCAGGGCTCTAGGAGACTGAAGCTGGAAAATGGACTGGCTGTATTGACCTACACTGCGATTAAAATCCTACAAGATGGCAAATTAATATCAGTTCAGTTGGGCATTTGAAAGAATATCATGTTTCTTGTTTCATCTTTAATTCCTAATAAGTTAAAAATCATGACAAACAAGGCCAGTACTTAAATCAACTGCAGTCCAAAAATGCTTGAATTGTAGCTGTTCTACATTTGCAACAGGTCTCAGAAACTCCTTTTACAAAAAATAAATTAATTTTGCTCTTTTTGTGTCAGGGCATTGATAGATGTACATATTATACATTTACTTAAAAATGCTAAGAAATAAAAGATTATCATACCTTGTCTGTGAGTGGTGGGGCAACATACTCCAGTGTTGTGTCATTCTAAAATTTTGATAAAGAATGTAAAAAAGAGGGTTAATATTAACGCCCAGTGACACAGAGATTTTTCAAAATACTTTTATTGAACTGGTAGAAGGCAAAATGGCAAACTTTTACGCTTAAGGTTAGCCATTAACCCTGTGTGCCTATCACCATGACAATGAAGGAAGAGATTACGTATGGGTTATTGACCAAGTGTGAGGTCAATATGGCTGGATATTGGCTAAGTTCTTTTTTTGCTTGTTTATGGACCGAGACGGAGTCAAGGTCCATAAACTCGCAAAAAAAGAACAAGGCCAAAATCCAGCCATCTTGACTGAACAAGCTTGGTCAATAAAGGATTTATTATATGGCTTTCGGGGAAATTTTTCTTGCAGGAGACAGCGGGTAGTCCTGAGTGGGCAAGATAGCTCCATCTTGCCCGCGTGGGTAGTCAATCACAGCGCAGGATTTGATTCATCTTGCCCACTGACGGAGCTAGCCATATAATAAATGTATATCTTGCTAAATGCAAATTGAGTCGAAACATTTTAAAGAGCTTGTGAAACCTTGGCAATTGGTGAACTTTTTATTGTGCTCTTTGGATCATAATATTGACGGAGATATTGACTTGTGAGTGGCAAAAGCACCAATGAGCCAATCCATGTAGATTTTGAGTTGACAAATTGCTGAGTTTTTACACTCATTTCACATAAAAAGAATTTGATACTTTGCAGTCAAATTTCTTGATAATTTTTGCCTTGCCCATTCAATTAGCCGGTGAACAGGCTCCTGGTGAGCCCGAACGAAGCGAGGGAAGCCTGCAGACATTCTATTGACGCCACCGTTCTATGATACCAGCTCCTGGTATCATGATATGATTGGTTAAATCACTGATTGTTGACATCTTTGAGACGAATATTTGACAGATCTTTGTAAAATTATACGACTCCAACGGCTTGTTACAATAGTGCATTTGCAATTCTCTTTTCTCAACCTCTTATTTTTTCACAAGTGATTCTGAAGGGTACTTTATGCTCTGTTACTAGCAGGAATTTTAAGTAGAAGCTAGTGGAGTGGAGCTGTTTGCCAGTGCTATAGCAATTTTTTTCAGAGGTCAAAGGCATGGTTTCCAGACTTTCCACTGTTATCTGCTTGTTGCCTCGCAAAGTTTGACACCTTATAATTTCTTTAGGCTAACTTCAGTATTGCAAAATATGTTTTAAGCTCTCTAAGTATTGGCCTTGGAGGGACAAAGTTAAGTTTGAAATATTCCATGAACATGTTGCTTACTTGTACTCTATATTATGATGCCCAGCCTGGCTACTTGATCAGCTTGATTACAACTGATAAGTTAATAATGATGGTGAATTTTAAGCTCGGTAATGAA